TTTTTTTTTTTTTTTTTTTTTTTTAAAAAATATTTAGATTTTTGCAAGGTAAACATCTGTGATCTGTGCAGCCTGCGTTTCCTTCCTGGAGAGCAAGATGCAGCTCCAGATAAATACCACTCTTTGTTTGACTGGCTGGTTTGTATCTCTACTTTCCAATGCACATTGCACAGAGACATCCATGCTTTCGTGAATGCCCGGGCCGCTGATGTGCCATTTTGGAGCTGCGTTCGCCACCTTCCACCATTGCTTTTTAGGTGGTCTCCTTGCTTGACGCCTGGCGTGTAGTCTGTCCGTGCCAAGTCTGTGCAGTACTGGTTGTGCAAGGTAAATTATTCCCATGCTCACAGGACATTTGTTGGTGGTGTGGCCAACCTACGGTCTACAGAAAAAGGACGAGCCCTTCGGCTCCACCACCCCTCTGATCCTGCCCTGGAGAGGATGCTCGTGCCTCCACGGACATGCGGCGAGTGGTTGGCAGAGCGAGTTTGCAAATCCCTCGCCATTCAGGGTCATTTCTAAGGGGGAGGAGGGGAGAAGGAGCCCTGCGGGACTGCAGAGCTGGGCTGGCTGGGTGGCATGTTGAGAGCTGGAATGATTATATTTTGTAATAGAAAATTGTGAAAGAAACCCCATCCTGTTGGCAGAGAGAGCGTTGTGCAGAGGTGACGCTGTCGCATGCTGCCGCAGGATGGATGTTGTGTCTTTTTGTAATAATTTTAAAGACTCCGAGTGACTGAATTGCTGTATGTTTCACTTTTTATTTTTGAAAGAATTAATGTATAAATAGAGTATCTTAAAATATTATGAGGGAAAGATCTATATTTGATATTTTTAGAAGATCTGTAACAAGAGAAGCGAAGGACATTTGAAACCGGTTACAGAAAAGCGCTTGCAAATGCACCCACATCTACAGTCGCCCGCCAAGCCTTGGGCTGCCTTTTCGTTCGCTTCGTGGTGTTGGTTAGAAATGAGGGAAAGGGAAATTTCAGACCTCTCTACGTTTCTTTCGCAGTAATTAAACTTCCTGGACTTTTGTCTTGGGTAAAAAAAAAAAAAAAAAGAGGAAAAAGTCAATATTTTTTTTCCTGATTTCTAGGGCGGGTGCGGTACAGCTCATCTCCCCGAGGTTATAACCCCTCCGTCCGCGACTCACCGACCCTCGGGGCACGTGCCAGGCACATCACCTGGCTGGTGCTGCTGAGGCAAGGGTGAAGCCTCCGAACTGTCCTGTGTTTTCTGCTTGAAGGTGTTGGATGAAGAGGGATGAGAGGTTTGTAGGGATAAAAGCCAGCATTTCACTGGCAAGTTCATAGAAACATAGAATCACAGAATGCTTTGGGTTGGAAGGGACCTTTAGAGGCCATCCAGCCCAACCCCCGCAGTGAGCAGGGACACCTTTAACCAGATCAGGTTGCCCAGAGCCCCATCCAACCTGGCCTTGAATGTTTCCAGGGATGGGGCCTCCACTACCTCTCTGGGCAACCTGTTCCAGTG